CAAACCTGATAAAGACAGGCCTCTTTATCCTTAAAGATAAGATATATATATATATATATATATATATATATATATATATATATATATATAGTTGGCTTTGTTTCTCTGACAAGGGTAAGATAATGAGATAAATTGTTTTAGCATTATAATTTCCAAATCCTAGTGTGTGTAATAATCACTTCAGAACATGTTAATTGTTCAGATTCTCAGAACCGTTCTCAGCTATTCTAGTTCAATAATTCTGAGATAGGGTCTAGGAACCTATATTTTAAAATGAATTAAAAATTAAAAATGTTAAACATATATAAATGTAAACTAGTGGCTATTACCCAACTTCAATGATAATCAATCTTCTTTTATTTATACCATCACACTCACCATGCTTCTGCCACTGTTACATTGTTTTGAAGCAAATTCCAGACATCTTATCATTTTATCTAAAAGTATTTCAAGATATGTAGCAATGCTTTAAAATTGATGCTTTATTACATAACCTAAAAATTAACAGTAAATTTCTAAAAACCAGTTAGTGTTCTCGTTACCTTAGCGTCTTATAAATGATTTGCAAATTTAGATTCTTTGAAATTAGGATCCCAAATATCCACACTTCGGGTTGACATGTCTTGAAATTTCTTTTTATATATTTTAATCTACACATTTTTTCATTTCTTTTAAAATTTTACTTTTTGCGGTTCTTTTCCCACATACGGGATTATGCAAAATTCTACTCACTATTATCTTTTCACGTTTTCCTTTTAACTGGATTTTATGGAAAGAGATTTGGCCAAATTCAAACATATTTTTTCTTGACAAGAATATATTAGAAGGTATTTTGTGTCCTTCCATAAGGAGGCATATAATGTCTCCTCGTCTCTTTTTATAATCTTAAAGTTGATGAGTGCGTTTAGGTACTATCAGATTATTGATCCATCCATCATTAAGTTTCTACTAGCTTTTTCCTCACTAATGATTTTGTAGACATCAATGCTTATTTGCTTAAATCCCTTCATCTGTATTTGTAAAATGATGATTCAAATTATTTTACCCCTTCTACATTTGTTAGATAGATTATGTCTGTAGAGAGAAACTTCTTCTGCACCACCCCCTATGGGATTTTATGCAGGTGGGCTTCAGGCTGCATATTAAGAAAAAAAGATTACTTAGGGATTCGGAGAAATAAAAGACCAGGAAAGGTGTCATGCAATAGTGGCATTTGATTTGTGCTTTACACATGCATAAGTAGATATTAAAATAGAGGATCAAGATGAGATGGCATTCTTGCCAATGGAGATATAAGAAGCTGAGGTGAGAAAATTGAAGAGCATAAGAAATCTTTTGAAAACTGTGGAAAGTATTGGACTACCAGAGTGAACCCTCCATACCAGGCCTGCATACCACAGCACCCCTTGTACTCTGGAATTCTGACTAGTCAATTTCTGGTTTTTATCATTTTCTTCAATCTTATTGCTATTAGCTATCCAACATGTTGATAAACAACTTACCTCAATCTTTCTATTCTGTTCTATTCCATATATATGCACACTTCTGTCTTTCACTTATTTGCTTGTTTTCTTTGTTTGTTTATTGACTTAGTGTCATTCTAACTTTCCTGGGTGTTCTTCATCAAACAATAATTCGGTTTCTACTGTGTGCTACTGGGTTCATTGTGAAAAATGGGCAAATGTGGTCTCCACCTTCAGGGAGCTGGTAATCTAATTGAGGAGAAGACAAGTCAATAGATCTTACGATAAATTAACTTAAGTGTTATAAAAATTTTATACCTACGACACTTAAAAGAGAGAACACAAAACTGATTCCAGAAAGCAGATAAGATAAATGAGCTGGATTTCTTAAAGACTGAATAGAAGTTAACTGTGTACTCAAGAATAATAGGTCCTATATGGTAGAAAACCTATTATCAAGGTATGGGGGCAGTTAAAAAATGTACTACTCTATGAAGGAGCAAATGATTCCCTATGGCTGCTAAGGCCATAATCACTCTCTTGGGGACCTCTTTAGAAATCTTTGAAACTGTATCCTATTTACCTCTTTCTCTTTTTGCGGAGCATCTTGTCCTCATTTTTTAATTTTGCATTCTCATCTCCACCATCATCATTAATCTCACCTCTGAATCTTTGCTCAGGTCTTCCAGCTGGACTCCCCACTTCCAGTGTTTTCCCTGCTCCACACCAACCCATCCATTTATAACCAGATAAATCTTTCCAGACTACCCCATTCATATGATCACTCTTTTCCTAGGAAGTTCTTAGTGCTTCATGACTGATTTTTGAAAGGGTCTGAACTACTTATCATGCTATTTGAATCCACAATCTGGCTCTTGCCTTCATTTCCAGATTTATCCTCTATAAATCCAGAATTTCCTTACAGTTTCCTAAAACATGTATTATGCTTTCCCACATGCTCATCTTGGCTCATTATCTTCCCACTCTCTGAAGTGCCCTCTTGTCTTGTGTCTGTTTTTCAACACATACTTCTGCATATTTAATGCACGGGTCAAAAACTTATATGAGATATTCAAAAAGCCAAGATTTCATGGTAAACTAATTTAACACAGCATTTTAAAAATACCTTTCACTTGAAATCTATTAATATTATGGCCAATTTTTGTACATGTTTCCCACTTTAAAATAACATTGGAATAATTAAATTTTCTATAAACTTTGTTAGACTGCCTGTTTGGATAATGTTAAAATACTTCCATTTAAAGACTTATTTTAGCCCAAAATATTTTGAAAATCACCTCAATTTAAAGTGAAGTGAGTTTAACATTTTTCTTTCAACTAAAACTGAATTTTATATAAAGAAAAAGGAACTATTCACTGAAGTAAAGCATGCAAAAGTATATATATGTATATAGTTTCAAATTTCGAAGCTCAATTTGCCTATTTGGTTCTTGCTTCATTAAGAGCTCTTCTTGATTGTGATGATGATTATAATGATGGTGGTGGGAATTTGGCTATTATTTGGCCTAAGTAATGTGAACAGTTGCCATAGTTTTATTTTCCATGTAGATTCCGATGAACTATATGGCCTCTTCTGCTTAACTTCCCAAAATATGCTCTTTTTGGTACACTTAGAGGTAATTCCAAATTCTCATTAATTCATTCTATTACTCATCAATAGAACACATTAGATCTGATAACAAAATAATCCTTGAATGCTTTTCTCTGCTTTCTTTCATTCATGTGCAATTACTGAGGATCCCAGAGCTGAAAAAGTAATTTCAGAAGCATTTGTTGTTGTCTTCTGTCTGTGTCATGTGTCTATTTTATCACAGAGTAGATTTTTAATGGTTTTATTATAATTCTAGACAAGTAAGTCAATGTATAACTTCAAGAAATAAAACAGTATGTGATGCATATATTTAAATGAATTCCGTTGGACCTTTAAAAATGCTTTTCTACAATTTGATCAAAACTTAAGATTTTTTTCACCTCACTGTACTCCAGTATGGGTGACAGAGTAAGACCTGTCTCAAAAAAAAATAAATAAATAAGTTATTTTCTTAGGTGTTATTTGTAGAGAAAGAT